TGGAAATATTACTTGGTTTTGTTCGAATGCCTTGGCAAGATGTCGTGTTCCTTGAACGCCGATTTGCTTGCCACTGAGGTCCAGTGTGGTTAGTGCCTGTTTTGAATGAGCAGTGAAAGGTAAATAGAGAAGATCGAAATATTACTTGATTTTGTTGGAGAGCTTTGGCTAGCTGTTGTGCACCTTCATCACCGATTCCATTCCAACGGAGGATCAGTGTTCTGAGCGTCTGTTTTCAATAGGCTATGAATGATAGATAGAGAAAGTCGGCATTTTACTTTGTTTTTTTCGAGAGCTTTGGCAAGATGTTGTGCTCCCTTACGAGAAATTCTATTGTAGCTGATGTTCAGTGTGGTTAGTGTCTGTTTCGAAGAGTCGATGAATGATAGGTAGACAGGTTGGTGATATTACTTGGTTATGTTCGAGAGCTTCAGCAAGATGTTGTGCTCCATCATCACCGATTTCATTATCACTAAGGTTCAGTATGTTTAGTGTCTGTTTTGCAGTCGCAGTGAATGCAAGATAACAAATAGCGCGATATTACTTTGTTTTGTTCGATAGCTTTGGCAATATGTTCCACTTGTTGATCATTGATACTATTGCCATTGACGTCTAGTATGTTTAGTACCTACGTGTAAGAATAAGAAAGTTGTGATGATAGAAGAGTTTAGGAAGTAACGTTGTAAGGGGACTCATAATCGATAGGTGTTGCTTCAATCGGAACGTTTTTGATTTATTTCATGGACATCGGAATGGTTTTTTGCACAAAAGAAACACTAAAAAATGTCGTAAGCATATGATTCTTTTTGTAGCGTCTGAGAACTGTTTTCTAATGGGTGTGGAATTCACGATAGCGATTTAGGAGCTTTTGTAAGACTAGTGAGGCTCGGTATCGGGTAAAATTTCCAGACTGATGGGCGCTGATATTCGTCAATGTTCGATGTAGAAAAGCGAAATGACTCATTAATGGGAAGAGATACTGGTGCTTTCACGTTCGTTATGCCGTTTGACTCGTTCGTTTATTTGTAAAACATTCTTATAGTTGCGTGTCTTGTTTAGGTGGTGTACAATGGAAAGAAATTGCCCATATGTCGCCGTATATCAGTAATACAATGATGTTTTTAAGATATTGTTTCTGAACATGTTCGATCTGAGCAGCGTTTTTTCACTTGAATCTTAATGCCAGTCTTAGAAATATAATTTTAAAGTATTAATTCGCTTCGGATTTTTTAAGTTCTTGTCACCTCAACAAATGGTACGCATTGCTGTGATTCGTGGGATATTTTCAGTGGCTTTTTGTTTTAGTTAAATTTGATCATTGTCAGTAGTGAATCTCTGTTTTCGATTGAAACGAAAAGCATAAGTCGTTTTCAAAACATCGTGGACTTTGTTCAGTTTGACTCAGTAATGGGTGACTAGCGAAGCAAAATGCTCTAGCAAGCTGGTATATAGATTGATATCTTAGATAGTTAATTAATGTGTTGAAGATGATAAAAGTTAAATCTTCAGATATGATTGTGTTTTACCTGATATCGGTGGTAGCTGTCGACAACTGAATTCATACGTGCACAAACATTTCGCGTCGAGTATATAATATCAAAATCATTAAGATGATCAAGAATTCGATAGATGAGTTCTATCGGTAATGTAACAAAAGTTGGAATAATTCTGGTCGACATCGATGAAAACTTTTTGAGATGTTTTGGGATGTTGGAATGTATATTGAATATATAGTGTGTTTAATGACACAGTTTTCGTTTAGATGAGTTTATCATAGTTTTGTGTCAGAAGTTTCTGCTGCTTGTGCAATTACTTGTTTGGTCAAAGTGATGCAGAGTAATGATAAATTGTGAAAGCGCCATGATATAACGAGTTTAGGTTACTTGGTGTTCCATTACAGTTGATTTGTCGCGTTGTAAAAAATGGATATTTATAAGCTTGGAGATTTTAATGAATAATAACAAATTGTTGGTAATAACTTAATATTAAAACAAATGGAAATTTAAATTACAGTAACTGATAAGAATCGAACCTGCGTTCGTCATGTTTGGTTATTAAATTTATATGTTGCAAGTTTATATTCTGTGTGCAAATTGAATAAAACATCCACAAACTAGTGCTCATCATCAACAATATTTTTGACTAAAACCAAAACTAATATAATTAATCTTGTTTATGTCTAATAGAGTATGCAATCAAGAAAATTTCAGTGACCATATGAATAAGAATGTAGCAACAAGGTGTTTCAAACCTATAGATACTTCTAGAGAATAAATTCACACACTACTAATTTTTTCGCTAAACGCGGTACAAGCTAGTACCGGTCATTTTTTTCGATTGAAACTAAAGTATTTTTATTGATAGCAGCGTAAACGAAAAGCGTTCATTTCGCTCATGTCTAAATTGAATACCCGATTGATTTCACTAATAAATGACAAATCTACATACGTCAAAATATCATGTTTCTACGAATAAAAACAAAGTTATGTAAACATTAACAACGACCGAAAGTTTTCAAAGACATTTTTTGAGTTTTTTTAGTTAAAGAATACCTATCAAAATGGTAGAGAACGTATAAAATAGTAATCAAACATATTTACAACAGAAATTAGACTTTAGAAGATAACATATGTAGTACTTTAAACAGTTAGTGTCTTTGTGAATCCAAATAGGGAGAGTTTTTCTCAAAACCTCGGCTATCACCACTGATAATCAGTCGAATATTTGTACATCAACAATAAGTTCTGTAAGTGGATAAACAAATCTTTAGAATCAATATTTCTTTATTTTTCTAGAACAGTTCAATAATGTTTGCTCATAAATCTAATATATGAACAAACTGTCAATGATAAACATTTCAAATAATTTCTTAAAAGCGTATACTTGTTTCTTACATTGAATTCAAAATTAAAATAATATTTACTGCGTTTTTCTACTTTTCAATAGCTGTACGTCAATGAATCGCAAATTGTGCAATAATAAGAAAGCACGATGCTGATAAGTAACTGCTAGATCAAAGGAATAAACTTCAATTAAAGATTGTTGCATTGTATTCATTCATGGAAGTATTGCTGTTTATGGATACTTGCAATTCTTTCAATAACTGGCAATAATTCAAGTCGAAGATTTCTACACCTTATGTACTTTAGCAACTGCTTAGAACTAATATTAGGTATAAGTATAAGAACAGAAATGAAAGTGAAGATATCGAACCAGAATAGTCAATATACTTTGAGTCGTTAATGTTGAGATGAGTTCAACACTTATGCGAAGCAAATGATGAATTGTAAGTAATATTTCTTTAAGACATGTGAACAATAAAATTGAGTTCTAAAAAAAGAAAATTCATTGTCTAAATAAAATAATATATTTTCAGGATTATCAATTGAACCGATTTTTTATAAATGACTATGTTTCGTTCACTTTTCTTTGTTATCTTCTGTATTACATATTCAATCAGCACTACAATAAGTACATCGTATAGCTAGACCAAAGAGCTTATGTTCTTAGCCATTAGTAGTTCATAGTGACGCGATATTTTCTAGTTCGCAATAAATATTGAAATCAAATTTTCAGTTCACCTTTTTCAATTGAAGATAAATAGCTTATGTTTCAATTATGTTCCTTATTATTATTGTCTTTTTTCTTTTTTCATTTAACTATTCTCTATTATCATCTTCCTGAACTAAACGTAAAAAATATATTTCATATAATATAAACAGAAAACAATAATAGAATATAATTTTTATTATGTTATCCATGAATGCAGTTGTTGCTTTTGATATTTTTTAAAAATTCTATTGAACAAAAACTGTCACGTAGTTTACATATCTTTCTAAAACCAAGTCATACAAAATAAACATGTTATAATGCTATGTTCATTAATTATCATAGCCATAAGATAATTTGAATAGTATAGACACAAATAATTTTCCAATATCAATATGCATCACTGTTTTCCACGATGAATATTACGACAACCGTACACGGTCGCATACGATCGTAGTCAAATATGTTTCTTTCCACTGAACAGAGATGGATTTTTTCCTCTCCATAAGTACGCAAAATTTTATTTTTTTTTTCATTTGAGAAAAGAACTCACTGTTTAATTTGTTGTTCGAATTATTCTAGATAAAAAGAAACTATTTACTTAAAAAGAGAACAGCTAGCTGCTCAATAAGTGCAATTCGTCTCAACACTAACTTACGATCATGGTACATAATGATCGCATATGACGACCAATTTTTGACGCATTGAATAGTACATGGGTGTTTATGATTGTCCTTTTTTAGACCTGAGTAATCTAAAAACAACTTATTGCTTGTTTTGCATTTGAAATGAAATCAACTGAATTCTGTTGATGATGTCATCACTGTAAGAACTATGGTTTTTTAGAAGCTTCTATGTTGGAGTTTTCTTTTCTCATCACCATTAATCATTTAGTGAAAAACCAAGATTTGAATTCATCCTTTTCATCATGTTAACATTCATTTGAGATCTAAGATCTCTGAACTTTTCTTCTCAAGCTGAATTCGATAAAGAAAATGCACACAATTTAATTAGACTTCGTCATTATACTGAATGATCTAGGTATTACATTCGTTTAAAGTAAAATAATCTATTCATATTATGAATCACAGATTGTAAAAAAACTACTTCAACTTTCATAAAAATACATCTATTGGTGTATCCTTGAAAATAAATAACGACAAGACTCGTTTTATTACGCATATATAATTTTATTCTAAACTAATTGTATATCAAAAATGAATATACAGCGTTTACAAAGTTCACATGAATAATCTCTCGATATTAATTTAATAATTATATGCTTGATGGAAAGGAAAATGCATTAATCATAAGTATACAGTTGTAAATACATAGTGAGAAAGAACATATATAAGTAGTTACAAATCGCAAGAATCGAATACAGTTGAAACCTGATCGACGTGCATTACATTTCTTAACTTTTTATTTATTAGACTCTCATATTTAGCAATATGCAGATGAAGACATTGGTTATGTTTGGTTTTTTAGTTATTATTGTTATGCTATCATCATGTGAAGGCAAACGTTTATTTTTTGATAATGATGATAATGATATGACATTAACTGAAGCTAAAGCTCGTATGTTCTTAGAGAATGATAACAATGATGATTTTGACAAACGAGCACAGAGTGGTGACTGTGTCTTATGCAAATTGAACACGTTTCGATGCTGTAAACCAAATTTATGTGTTAAAAAACGATTTCGACCAGATGAATGCATGGAAGTCAAAGGCAAATAAATGACAAATGTATCCATATTAATACATTTAATGAACTTTTTTTTCAATTAAAAAAAATAAAATAAAATTAGGATTCGTTCAACAAAAAAAATTCGACTTGACAGATCTTTGTGTGCAAGATGTGAATCACCGTAGATCAATGGAAATATTATTGATATAATAAGAAAGAAACAAGTAATCATCTTTTATAGAATATGTCAAAAGTTTGTCACAATTGAGAGCACGATTCTATATGACTTTATACCAGTTTTTTTGAAACTAAAAAAGAACCTGAATAGATATGGCAGAATATTTACATAGTTTATTATTCTTGAATGTTCCTTATACTTATTAATTAGTTCATTTTCTACAAATACTACAGACCATAAATATCTATTGCTCTTCGACTTTTGTTATTGAGAAATACATTTTATAGTTGGAAAGAATAATTTTATAAAAAAAGATTGGTGATGATTAAAGAAAACAAAACCAAGCAATCATCTTGATGGAACATTTATCATAACTAAGTGAAGCTTCTCTTGAATTCTTTCAGATATCTCTTTATTGGAATCATTTTGTGTCCATCTGACTTAACTGATACTCTAGTAGCTGTGGAATGCAGATCAGAAATGTCTCTAAACATTTATCAAGACTGAAACGATCGACAATAATTGGAGTAAATGATTAATAAAATTATTGTGAGGTCAACTATTTTTGATTACTTTATATAGAATATTTTATCTTGCAAATATTTTATTTTTGTCTATTCTGATAACTATCTTTAATCACCGGCATAATCAATCGATCAAAATTGGAAAAAAAACCAAAGGATTGTTTAACAAATGTTTTTTTCAATTTCTCATTATTTAAACTTTTTCTCTGGCTACGTATTATTCATATTGAAATATAAACCCTACGGCTGCGAGGTGTTTTGAAAGAAAAATAAAACTTCTCTTTTAATGTTAGTGGAATGTACAGGTGTGAGAGTGGTTGTGTGGATGTAGATAAATGTGAGTGTGAGTATTGGTTGTGCATAGAATAGAAATCTTGTTCTCAATTATATCGTCGTTTTTTGTGTACTCAAAAAGTGAGTACACTCTAAAATCGTTCAGTGTGTCCGTCCGTCCGTCCGTCCGTCCGTCCGTCCGTTTACAAGATAACTTTCGAAAAGAGAGTCTGATCGCGATGAAATTTTCTACATAGTTTCGTCTCATTAATATCGCGGTCGAGTTCGAAGATGAGAATGATTCGTCGAGCCATCGCTGAGTTATCGGGAAAAGAGTCATTATTCCTTATGCTTTTCTATGCGAACATTGACCTATTCTGCTTTTCGTAAAAAACTTTTCCTCTCATAATCAAAGAAAACCCCAACTATTATATACCATTCGATAGAGAATTTCACGAGCTACAAAATGATATATAAAACATTAAGAAACAAGAAGGCTAAGTCACCTATTGCAAAGATACTTAAACGGAAATTGGTTCTGTTTGTCCACGTTCCCATTGATCGAAAAGTAAAGCTCGGTCTTCCGATCACAGAGATGATACATCGAGGTTTTCTAGGGCGAAGAACTCGAATCTTCTATTGGTTGAGCAGTAACCAATAGAAATCAAGTCCTAGGAAAAACGACTTTCTGGGGTAATTCAGGACGAAGAGTTTAAATTAGAGGTGTCGTCTTAGCATTAGCATTATTTTAATGCTAATAGCAATACTGTTGAATACGATTCTAACATAAATGTATCATAAGTTGAAATGATTTGTGTATCGCTAGAACGGCCTAGTATCCTTGATTAGCTAATCAAGGATACTAACTCGTTCTACTGATACATAAACAGTTTCGATTTGTAATACCTTTATGTTAGAATCATAGTCAACAGTATCGTTGTTAGCATTAATTTAATGCTAATACTAATGTTAATGCGACACCTCTAGTTTAAATCTGAGCTATATTTACTCCGAAACCCTATTGGTGGAGCAGTAACCGATACAAATCAAGTTTTAATAGAGGGGGCTCGCTAGGATAATTTTGATGCCTACACGTGCTAGGATGACTTATCTGTCCCGTTCACTTTTTGAAGTACTCATAACACTCGGATTTAAATCCGATGTTTCCACAGTTATTTATTCATAAGTTCAATCTGAAATTCTAGTCGGTAAGCATAACTACATCAATTAAAACATAAAAGGCTAATGTATAATGACTAATACTATGCCTAGAAACGTCACTATCCTCTTCTTTTCCGAACTATACAAGTACATGAGAGGTGTTTGACGATAAAGGAGATCCAGCTGAAGAAGAGACGGAAGAAAAAGAGTAGGGTTAGGCGAACTTCCGGCGGTTTCCTTCACTCGAAAACAATGTGGCGGACCGATTGCCATCTCTCACACTGATCCAACCTAACAATATATCGATTTATGGCGACCGAAGGATATGAGGAGTGATTCTGTGGTTCCACAACTCAGATTCTTTCGTTTTAAGTTACACTGTTGTCTTCCCAACTGTTTGTAAATATTCTTTGTGGTTTTTTTTTATCTGAAAATGAGCATCTTTCGAAATGAAGATTTTGGATCATTTTCATGGTTGTTATGCTCACTTTTGTAGTACAAAAGGGTCTGACTTTTCCATATGCAAGTCGTTGCAAACCAATCTCTTGGATCTTTCGAAGGTAAAGTGATCGTCTTTTTACGTGAATATATGGCTCGTCATGGAAAGTGGAAATAAATATAAAAATATGTTCTTTTTGCAAATGGTGATGACCTAATATTTTGATGAGTTTACAGTATGCCGAGGATTTCCTAGGAAACTTCATAGATCACTTTTGCCTAGTTGGCAAACTCAGCGTCAGTATCTCGAGAGATTTGGAAGGTTTGTAAGAAATTATTGAGATTGCTCTTTTTCTTGGGCTTTGGCGAGAATAGTGACATGATTCGTCAGGGTCGTTTTGTGTAGCGTAGATATTTGTTCTGGTTCTATGTTATTTCTGGCGGATCTTTTTGTTTTTTCACTGAGTTTTTGGTGATCTTCTATGCTTTCCAGCGGGATTAGAGCAGATTCCTGTCGATATCTGGTACACGGATAATGTGACAAAACCACTATTTCTGGTAGGATGGCTTTTCGATTCGGAATGCAGCGTCCAAATTTAAAAGTCACGGCTATCATTCGTAGATAGTCTTATAAGTTACCAGCAATGGGTGTGTTTACCGTTCAGTTACCGTTTCAGTTTGCATCACAAGATAGAAATAAGCGAATTGTCTGCAGTATGATGGTCATGCAAACTAGGTTTCTAGTGTAAGCGCCTTTATAAAGCTTCTTTTGTTTTAGACATGTTTGTTTGGATCTGAGTACGCCGTAATAGGTAGAACTATCAAGAGTAAGTGTTATCGTATCTAATTAATATTTTTATCTAACTATAATACTGATAGCTGACTCTTTCAATAACAATGATTTTAGATGTTTTGCAAAACTGTTTCATATGATGTAGAATTGTTCTAGTGTTACGTGGGGTTTAGGAAAGAAGCGCACGAGGAAAGTAGCGCACGGATATTTTGCGCTCGTAATATTGATTACTCGTTTTCATATCAATAAAAGTCAATTGAACAAAATAGTAGAAATAATTTATTTTTGAAGTGATTAATTGTAATATTAATAATTAGAAGTACAGCATAAGAAAAAGAGCTAATGTTCACTACTGTACAATACAATGTCACTCTTTAGTGTTTCTATTTCTAATGAAGATATTTAATATAAGGTTATATTATGTGCTAGCGCACTTAATTGATCAACAATATGACGATGAGGATTCAAGACAAGACTGANTGAAATTAAAAAAAATGTTGCACATACTGAAGATGACCAGGAAAATTTTAAAAATAGTACATGTCAGTGTTGTTCTAGGCTCTCATCCATAGTACAAGCTATAGACCTGAAACTTTGCAGTTATGTAGTACCACATATGTACAACATTCTACCAAAGTTTCAGCGAATTTGCTTTTGTAGAATACGAGAACGGTGAATTCTTAAAATCGTTTCAGAACTTCTGGGACACCCTTTATAGTTCATTCTTTTGAACAAATAAGAACATTTGTTGACAAACTATTCTCTTGTAAGATTTCTATTGCACACATCAGTCAAATTTTGATCGTGAAAAACATGACAAGAACAATTATTCGACTTCTTTTTGGTCAAAATATTATTTTGAGTCAATCGGAGAAAAACAATTTCTTTTGCAAACAGAAAAAATTCGATTAATTTTGTTTATTTTTTGTCTTCTTATAAAAATCAAAAAAAAAAAAGGAAAATGATCTTACGAGTTTGTTCAATTGTTTTTTGATTCTCAATACCACCTAAACCAGAGTCTGATGAAGCTGATGAATGTGGTTTATTTTCTAAAAATCAATATTTAGATATCATTATAATATATAGCTAATTAACACACCTGTATCGGTCATGAATAATAATTCACCTAATAAAACAAGATTTTCATTTATGTCAAACTACGTTTAAAATTGCTTAGCAACTTGTTTAATAGATGTCGCTTCAATACTTTCGTCCATCTTTTTATTTTATCTATTAAATAATCAAAATATTTAATTAAAATTAGAAAAAAACCTAAAATTAAAATTTTTTCATTAATATAATAACATTTAATTATGATTTGTTCATAAAAAAACCTATTCATTAGAAGAACAACTTAACTTAACATAGCAATCATTAGTTAGGTTTTTATTTTTAAACAAACAAAAATCATGCCAGTATCGTTTATGTTAAGTATGTTCAGTTTAGCCATGTTTTTTGGCTCATATCTATCTGGTCTTATTCCACTTGCATTTAATCTATCCGAAGTAAATTATTTTAATTTATTGCTCGAAAAATAAAACACAATGAAAAGTTTTCTAGACTAAAATGCGTTATGTCACCGTACTTGGTGCTGGTCTTTTAGTTGGTACAGCACTTGCTGTAATCATTCCTGAAGGTGTTCATGCTTTATATATGAGTGAATTAGGTATGAATAAAAAATAATAATTGAATTAATTTATCTCTATCCTAGAAACTACTCATGATAAGATACAATTGGATAATAAAATTCCTCCTCGACATCTGAATCATATTGATCATGAAGATAAATTAGATAAAACTAAAGATTTACCACATGATCATAAACATGAAGTTGAGCCATCGAAGCAATTAAATACACATAAACATTCCGATGCAACTCATTCAGTAATTGGTATGTCAAATATTAGAGATGTGTAGAATCACTAGAAAAAAAGAATTGTCAGTCCTGCACATCTCAAATCTATATATTCGAAATATTTCGATTTTATTTAATATAGGTGTAACTTTAGTTCTTGGTTTTGTATTTATGTTAATTGTTGATAATTGTAGTTCGAAACTTTTTCATAATCATGGAAATCAAGGTTTAAATTTTAATTAATTAAATAAATTTATTCATTGAATTTCTTTGTTTTTTTTTTATTAGTTATTGATTCATCTGGTTCAGTAATTATATCAAAGCCAAAAGCAACATGGACAGCTACATTAGGTCTTGTTGTTCATGCGGCAGCTGATGGTATTGCTTTAGGTAAAGAAAAAGAAACAATATATAGAACGCCAATGAAATTTTGTAACACAGTATTTCTACAAAAAAAATATTTGCGAAATAGAAATCAGACTAACAGCTGTCATAGACTCAAAGTTCCGAACAACAAATACAATAAACTTCAATCCTTTTGTCTGGTATTTTTATTACAAATAGAGCTCAGTAAATCCTGATCGCAAGCAACCATTCGAGATCGATAAGCCTTAATGCAAAAAATTTACACTGAAAATACTGTTTAAATGCATTAATCTCGATTATCTAGGATAGTGTCCATCGATGGCTACGATAATATAATTTTGAGGGACAACTTAATTACAGCAGGGCACTCACTTGCAAAAAATGTCGAGGCTAATGGTTAATATTAGCTGAAGATATGGGTTACTTTTTAATGATTTCCGTCAACTCTTTTGCCGATGAATGAAAGATCTAACGTCCTAAGATTTGTTTTCTATGTTGACCTTCTAATTCCTTCGTATGAAGATCGAATAAGCTATGATACAAAAGAATTAAAGTTAGCTTTTGGTGTTATTTTTATTAAAACGATTGATTCTGTAGGTGCGGCATCAGCAACAAGTCGATTTAATGTTGAATTAATTGTATTTATGGCTATAATACTTCATAAAGTAATATTTATACGAAGTTGAAAAAAAGTTTGACTTTTTTTTTTTTAATATGAGAATTCTTTTTTCTTTTTATAGGCTCCAGCTGCTTTTGGTCTTGTTTCATTTTTAATATCTGATGGTGTTGATCGTAAACGTATTCGACGTCATTTATTAATATTTTCATTAGCTGCACCTTTAGTAGCAATTATTACTTTTGTTTTATTAAAAAATGTATGTTTATTATTTACCATTTGTCATTATTTTTAAATTTATATTGTTTTTTTTTTTTTTGTTTGTGTTTAAAGGGAATTCGTGATGCATATTCTGTTGATTCAACTGGTATAGCAATGTTATTTAGTGCGGGTACATTTCTTTTCGTTGCTACTGTACATGTTTTACCTGAAGTTCAATCTCATTATGATGATAGACAGTTTCGTGCCATAGAACTTCTTATTCTCATTATTGGTTGTTGCTTTCCAATCATTCTTTCTATGGGACATAAACATTGAACTTATTTTTTTTTTCTTTTTCTCTGACAAATTTTAATATGATATTTATTTATCTGACTTTAAGAAAAACCAAATTTGATATTTCTCTATTTTAGATTATTATTGTTGTTTCTTTTTGTTAATGGCAGATGATATTTACGTTGTTGAAAAAATTCTTGATAAAAAAATATTAGAAAATGATCAAATCGTATATCTTTTAAAATGGTTTGGTTATAATGAAGATGATGCAACATGGGAACCAGAAGAGAATATTTTTTGTAAAGACTTAATTGACCAATATGAATGTAATAGAAAATTTGAACATATAGAAGAGAATGTAGTAGGTTAATCAATAGAAATTTGTTTTCTTTTTTTTTTTCAAATATTTATTTATTTATTTAGATTGATGAATGTAAACAAATTCTCAAGGAAATTTGTGATGAAATTGAAACAGGTAAGACTTAAACAATGTCTAATCTGTGAATGTATTTATGGTTTATTCATCACTGATTTGTCCTTGTTCTCATTATGGTTGAATGGCTACGTTGTTTGACACATAGGCACAAGGTATTATATGCAAACTTTACAACCATCAGCCGTCGAATGACCTTAGACAAGTCACTAAAAGCTAATTGTTTTGCATCACTGATCTTATGTGTATGAGAAGCTCAAGAACTGTATGTCAGATCGAACTTTTGTCCCAAGCTACAACTAGTCATAGCTGTAGACAAGATAGCGAGCTATTGAATTTGTCACTAGACAGTACCTCATACCATGAGATAATTGAAAGCCAGGAATATTCTTATTTATGCTCTTCAGTTTCAAAAGAAGATGAACTTATCCAATCTCTCATAGTCTATCGAAAGATTGTTGGTATGAGCAATGTTTTTACAAGAATTCTTGAGTTATGATAATTTTACTAAATTACTTGCGAAGAAAAAAATTTAATCAGACGATCAACTTAATACATAGTTTTTTGTCAAACTATAACAACTTTATTTATACACTATAATCGTTGTTTATCAATTCATAATTACCATTAATGTTGATATAGTTAAATATATTATATCAAGTTTGAATTCATTTAGTACTTCCAACATATCAATCAATGAATGTGAGCATTGATGAACAAGAAGTCGTATGTTTTCAACTATCTACTGATATATCTATAACAACTACAACCACTGATAGTTCTGAAATTATCGATGAAAATTTAATTAGTGATATTTCATTACCCAATAATCTTAATAGTAAGATAGAAAAAGATCTCAAATTATTTATTAATTTATTTATGTTATTAAATAGATGAAGAAGAAAATGGTACGTCTACTGAAAATGGTACATAAATATATCATCAATCTGATATTTACACATGCTTTTTTTTGTTACTTATAGGAGAATCACAATTAATGAATGACAGTCCTGAGGTAAATAAAAATAAAATTTGAAAAATTAACTGAGTAGTTTAATATTAATACTTCTTAGTCAACATTTGATTCTAATCATTATGGTAAACGTACAAATACGACATCATTAATACGAAAGAAAAAAATTCGATCAGATTCAAATGATAATCGAACAAATATTATTGTTGATAATACTAATGATATACATACAAATGAAATAGATATAGAAAATAGTACAATAGATTATCTTGCACTTGAACCTGAACGTATTGTATCAATAACACGATCACGTACATCAACACAAGATCTTGAATTTTTATTAAAATGTACACGTTATCCAACGAAATTATTTTTTATATCAAATGAAAAAGCAAAAGAACTTATACCTAGTTTATTAATTGATTTTTATGAAAGACATATTAATTGGTTTATTGATCGACCATCATCAAGATTAACAGCACAAAGACGAAAATCTTAGATATATATATTTTGTTTGTTTTTTTTTTTTCTTGTTATTATTATTCAGTTATAAAATTTTTCTTTTTGTTAATTTTGTATATGAAAAAAACACCATGAAACATATTCTATATAGGATAGCTTTTCTTTTTCCAATGGATATTAAAATGTGATAATATATATTTATGTAGATTTTATTTATTTTCTAAACAAAAAAAAAAAAAACACAATGAGATTACTTCAATGTATGTCTTTCTTTCCATTGCGAACGTTTTATCGTTATGCAGCTAGTACACGTTTACAAGTATTTCAAAATGCTACACAAATTGTTGATCCTGAACGTATTCGAAATGTTGGAATTATTGCACATATTGATGCAGGTAGTTAGACAATAGCAAAGTTTTATTATGAAAAAATAATGAAACATTTGATTTTTTTTTTTTTTGCCTAGGTAAAACAACAACAGTTGAACGAATGTTATATCATGCTGGATTAATTCGATATATGGGTAATGTTGATGAAGGAAATACAACAATGGATTATATGGAACAAGAACGTGAAAGAGGTATAACAATAACATCAGCTGCTATAACAATGCCATGGAATAAACATCGTATAAATCTTATCGATACACCCGGTATGTTTCATGTGTACAGGTGAGTTTGTAATTATTCGAAACAGAAAAAGAAGAAATGATTTTACTTTTAAATAGGACATGTTGATTTTACAATTGAAGTTGAACGATCATTACGAGTGCTTGATGGAGCTGTTGCAATTCTTGATGCATCTGCTGGTAAAGTAATAACTATATCAAATAATAATAACAATGAAAACAAAACAAAAAAAATGAATTAATGATTTTAGGTGTTGAAACTCAATCATTAACTGTATGGCGTCAAGCTAATCGATATCATGTACCTCGTTTTATCTATATCAATAAAATGGATAAACCAACAGCTGATTTATCAATGTGTCTTGATTCAATTCGACAAAAATTTTCTGTTGAACCTTTACTTTTACATATTCCAATTGGTCATGGAAAACAATTTACTGGTATGATTGATTTATTAAATGAAACAAAAATTTCATCAAATGATCAATTGAAATTTTCATCTGAACTTTTAACTAAAGAACGATTAAAACTGATCGAAAAATTAGCTGATATTGATGATAAGATAGCTGAACTTCTATTATTTACTGATAAACCAATTTCAAATATACAATTACAACAAGCTATATGTCGTTTAATGATTCGTGATCAACGTTTTATTCCTGTATTTATTGGTAGTTCATTAAAAAATATTGGTGTTAAAACATTACTTGATGGTATTATTAATTTTCTTCCAAATGCAAGAACAATACCAGGATCAATATCGAATATGGGCACATTAATATATATATTTAAAACAATTCATGATCGACAAAAACAACCATTATCATTTGCACGTATTTATTCTGGTTCAGTTAAAAGACGAATGTCATTAATAAATGCACGAACGAATGAAAAAGAACAAATTAATAAAGTTTTTCTACCATTTGCTGATAATATGGAAGATATTGATGAAATTCGAGCAGGATCTATTGCTGTTCTTAGCGGATTTAAAGAAGTATGTTGGAAGCATTACATTGACATTAAATTATCAATCTGTCTAATTTTCATTGAGCTTTCGATAAACTAATCAATATGGCTATGAGTAAATGTTGATGCGATTAATGTACATATTCACACAATCAACATAAATAGAAGTCCTAACTACATCTATATACTTTGAATATTTCAATACTATTAAGGGTACTCCCCCCCCCCCCGTCTCTTTTTTGATCAAAAACTCGATTTTGAGTTGGGCATAAGATATGATAGCCTCAAGTGCTATGTGCAATTAGAGACATCATTCGACTCTAAACACCTTACTATTACAGAGTGACTGAATTAAAGAAATTTTTTTTTTCATAGTAATCATGAGAAATTTTTTTTCTTTACTTAGCGTAGCGCAAAATTATAATTCACTCAATCGTGCCTGCTTACGATCCTCCTCTAACTTTGTCCGATCGAGCTGAAATTTTTATCATAGATACTTTGAAGTATTCTTCAGAGGTAGTTTTGACCGTTTTAATTTCTGATGCTTCAATCCGGATTTATAGGGTTCGCAAGGTCAAAAACCTGGTTCTGGCGAAAAACCTTTACGTATTTTTTTTATAAAAAAAAAAGAAAGTGAGATTTTTGAAAACGCTCAAAACTACCTCTGAGATATACTCGTGGCTATCCACAAAAAAATTTTCAGCCCAATCGGACGAAGTTAGAAAGGAGTTGCCCTTGGCAAGGTGAGAACCTATGGAAAACCAAGGTTTTTCATAAAAAACCAGGAAAACCGCCTTAGAGAATTTTTTCCTCGAACACGTGTCTCATCATTTTAGGTGTTCTATTTGTGGTAAAAATTTCATTTCGATCGGCCTTACCATCTTCGAGATCTAGAAATGGTCAAAA